CATCACTTGGAGGTGTTCCAGGAGGGAGCAGCTGAGCAATTCCCAACCACATCCACCCTAACACATGCTTGGGACCATGTCTCAGTTCTCTGCTCAGCAATGGCTCAGTGGTGCCATCCCTGGAATAACACCGTGGCTGGGTCAGCAAGTGTTCCCTGCCTCCTTTCTGCCTCCTGGAGAGGGATGAACAGCTCATCCCTCCCCACCAGAGCCTGCCAGCACTTGGGAACTGCCTTTGGCAGGGGGGCAGATGCTTCTAGGTTGGGATGCTGCTCCCCAAGCGGGTGGTACCCACATGCAGAAGGCTGATTCTAACAGCTCTCTGCTTGCAGGGTCTGTTCCTGACACTCAGTGGCTCCTGTACCTCAAATTCAGCATCCACAAGCAAAGATGATGCAGTTTATGTCTGAGATGGTGAAACAGCCCCAGCCACTGCAGGAAACAGCAGCAAATTCAGCATCCCTCTTCAGCTCCATCCTAAACCCATCCCTCGGGATCGATGGCAGGATTGCACCAGGCTTTGGCAGCATCACGCTCCTTTGTGGCTCTGCTGTGGTCAGTAAATGACTATAGAGACAGTTCTGCATGTGCAGAGCCAGGACCTGGATCTATCAGTCCCCAGCTCTGCAGGCATCAACCTGAGGACAGAGGGGCCAACACAGCACCAGTGACATTCCCGGGATGCTCCGGGCACGCTCTGGGATAAAGCCCATCACTTACCTTGTGCAGCAGAGCCAGAGCACAATCCCTGCCTGCAGAAAACTGGGAAGCACCTGGGAGAGGATGGATGGGGCTCATCCAGCCCAGAAACACTCGCTCTGAGAGCTCCATCCCTCCCCTCTGCCTACCCCCATGCTGAACCAAGGATGGGGACAGCCTGCTAAGGTGCCCACAGGCCCCGAACCCAGCAGCCTGCCAGGGAGGGGATGGATGCACAGGGATGGATACCCGCATTTAGGGGAATTCTGGGTTCCTTCCCCCATCCCACCACACTACCCCGGTGCCAGGGGCTGCTGCTGGGCGCTGCGGCTGAGGAAAGATGGGGAACGCTGAAGGTCAAACCTGTGAAGGTCAAACCTGCCGAGGTCAGTGCCGAGATGGAGCAGGGAGCTGGATCCAGGCTGCTGCATCCTCCCTCTCCCGGCAGCATCCTGCCCAAGCCCCACCCAGGAAGACGGGGCTGCAATGGGAGCGCTTCCTCCTCCCCCCCCAGTGCCAAAGCCTGGCCAGGATGGGCAAGATCCAAGCGTAAAGATCCTCTCCCCCCCCCCCCCCCAAATCCCATCAGAAGCTGCCGGATGATCAGGGAACTAAACAGGAGCAGGGACCAAAGCAACAGGTCGCTGCAAACGGACAGGGGTAGAGGACATGAGGCTGAAAAAGCCAAGACATCCCCCATGCGTTCCATCCCTGGAAGCACACAGCCCTGGTACCCTCCTCCCTGCCGCTCATGCAGTGCGATATTCTCCCCATAGCCCAGCATAGGCACTATTCCCGCTGTCATTGCTCTATTTTAGTCTGTTTCGGGGGCAGGTTTCGCTTTGTGAGCTCTTTTCCAGCCCCAGCTGCTTTGATATCAAAGGACACCCCTTTAATATCAAAGGTAACAGAGCCATCCCCACGTCCTTCCCTTGGGAAGATGATGCTGTTTGCTCCTCTCCCTGCTTGCCTCCTGCCTCAGCACCCCCAGCAATAAGAGACATCGAACCCCTCCGGGCAGAGCACAGAGCAAACCAGCACCACAAACCGTGCACAAGGAAGAGGAAACCGGATCAACCCCCGCTGGGGAGGGCTCCGGCTCCGGCTCCGGCTCCGGCTCCTGCTCCTGCCAAGGCTGCAGGCTGCTGGGGATGCTGCCGCTTCCCCTCCTTCCTCCCGGCAGCCCCGCTTCCGGCACATGGCTCCGCTTCTCCATGCTTGGAAGAGCCCGGCCGCAGCATCAGAGCCCCGCGCCCATCCCGGCGCTGCTGCCGGGAGCACCGGGAGCAGCCGAGGGGATCGCAGGTACAATGAAACCGATGGAGCAGGCGGGATCCCGCGCACCGCGGATGCGGGACCGGCTTTTCCGGGTGCCTGACCTTCAGGGAGCTGGGGTGGGAAGGGAGCTGCTGGGGGCCGCCCATCCTCACGGGTTTGGGTTGAAAGCAGCCCTGTTTAACAAGGGGAGCTGCGGGGGTGCGTGGTCCCGAGCCCTTGACCTCCATCCCAGGCTGCTGCGAGCAGGGGGACACTCACCTTGACCGGGTAGATGGGGGGCTCTGTTTCGCTCTGTCACCCACAGGAGGAACGCAGCACCCATAGATGGGGACCCCGGCGCTCTCCCCCCTGGGTGCTGTTGTATGGGGGGGGAAAGCAGCAGCTCTTACCTTGTGTCCTGCAGTCACACCTTGGGAGCTGGCTCTTGCGCAGAGGGGAGGGAGGGAGAAGGCAGAGGAAGGGGGGAAACTTGGGAGGTTCCCACAATGCACCTCTGCAGACTGCATGAAGATGGAGAGCAAAGGGGGGGGCACCAAGCGCTCCAATCCGGAGGGAAGGGCTGGGATTTGGGGGGGGGGGAGGTACAGGATGTCAAGGGGGGGTGATTGGGGCTGCCCAGCTGCATCTGCACATCCCCTGTGATCCAGGGCTGAGCTGGGGTTTGCTGGCTCTGCAGTCCAGGGCTGCCCCTGCAGCACTGCCTGCATCCCTCACTGGCTCCTCTAAAGCCAGCCTGGGTTTGCAGGGGTTGCAGTGAATACAAGTGGGGGGACACACTGGGGGACATGGGAGGGGAAGAGCTTGGTAAACTGGGATACTTGTGTGTCGACAAGAGAAACCAGGGGTATGGGGCTCCCCCCAGCAATGCAAGGGGTTTCCAAGTGGGGCAGTACCCTGGCAGTGGGTTAAGGGGGGACAAATCCCTCTTCCCAAGGAGCAGCGCATTGGTTGATAGCAAAGAGCCCTCCCTGTCACAGTGTCAGCTCCTCCAGCCAGGCCAGGTCCCCAATTCACATCACTCAACAATAATCTTGCTCTTACCCCAAACTGCAGCCAGGTCCTGGGACTGTCTGTAGATCATTTAGCCATGATGTCCTGAGCAAACCAAGCTCTGTGATGCTTGTCCATCTTCCTCCATAGGGTTCCTTGGACCCACTGCCCAGCTCCATGTGACTGTGGAGAAATCATGGATGTCTTCAGGCTGCAGGAAACCTGGAGAGGGGCTTGGGACAAGGGCCTGGAGGGACAGGCCAAGGGGAATGGCTTGAACCTGCCCGAGGGGAGACTGAGCTGAGCTCTTAGGCAGAAGCTCTTCCCTGTGAGGGTGCTGAGGCGCTGGCACAGGGTGCCCAGAGAAGCTGTGGCTGCCCCATCCCTGGCAGTGCTCAAGGCCAGGTTGGACACAGGGGCTTGGAGCAAGCTGCTCCAGTGGAAGGGGTCCCTGCCTGTGGCAGGGCAGGGGTTGGAGCTGGGTGATCCTGCCCTCAGGAGCCAGATCCGGGTGCCTCCCAGCTGTGCCAATGTGCATAGGAGCACCCAGGCTGCTTAAACCCCTCTGTCAGTTAAAAACCTGCTTGAAGGGAGCTGCAGAAAACAAAGGGGCCCAATGCCAGGACCCAGCTCTGCCGGGAGCGATGCAGCTCAGAGCGGGGATGCACAAGGTGATCTTGATGCAGTCCTTGGCTCAGAGGAGCTGGCACAGGCAGGCCTGGCTGTGGCTGATGCTGATGTCCCTTCTGCTGCCTGTCTGGTCCCACACCGGCAGCACCAGCCCTCCCCGCTGCTTTAGGGACTTGTGCCAGGCTCAGCCGAGAGCATTAAGTGTGAGCCTCCCCTTCCTAACATCCCCCAGGCCTGCTGCGAGCAGCAGACGGGTGCTTATTTCTGGAAAGCTTATGGAAATGTGGTTTAATACAGGAGAAATCCCCAAATTCCTGCTCCCAGCACTCATAAACCCCTTTTACCGCTTCTACATCAATGCAGAAACACCCCTGGCCTCTGCATCCCCCCTCAACACAGCAGGAGGATGGGGAAGTGGAAACTGGCAGCTCCAGTGCCCAGAGCCTGGATGTGCTGAGGCTGGGGGGTGTGTGGGGCTGGCTGCCTCAGCCCTAGGGGGTAACCAGCCTCACACAATGCACTCCCAGCCTCAGGCTTCTGGAATTGGCTCAGATTCTGAGCTTTGGGAGCATTTTGACCTGTGTAGACAAAAGGGAAGTAAAGGAAATGAGCTGTAAAACCAATGATCTCTGCCCACTACAGAGAGAAGGGGGAAGTGGGGAAGCAGCACCCAGAAACCCCCTGGTACTGAGCACAGGATGTGTCCCCTGCAGCAAGTGGGTCGCATCCCCTAACCCAGCACAGGGGAGCAAGCAGCAGATCAGACAGGGACCCAGGCAGGGGAAAGCAGCTTCTCCATGGTCAGATGGAGAGGGGAGGGCTGCTGGTGCTGTCCCTCGGAGCTCCCTGGTACCCCAGGATGGCTTACAGCAGGGAGGATACAGCCCTGGCTGTGGGAACCCCCTGCAAGCCCTGCTGCTGGTGGGGCCGGATGGCAGCAGCATCGCAGGGAAGGAGCAGGCTGTGCCCTGTGCTTCCAAGAGGAGCAGTTGTTCCCACAGAGCAGCACTGGCTGCCAAGGTGCTGTCCATAGGTGCAGTTTTCCTCCTCCTTCAGCTCCCAATGTGCCTTCAAGCATCCTTTCCCAGCATTCCTCAAGGGAGCTTTGCTGCACGCATCCCCCTGGAGCACTTGGGTTCCATCACGCCTGGATGGAAGCTGTAGCTTCAGCTACAGAATCCCCACATGCTGCAGTCCCAGTTCCCGTTCCTCCCCCAGGTGGGTTATGGAACCATGGAATGGTTCAGGTTGGAGGGGACCTTCAAGCCCCTCCAGTTCCAAGCTGGATGTGGGGCTGGGTTGAGAAGCAAAACCCCCACAGGGATTCCAGGCAGCACCGTGCACCATCCTCCATGTCCCCATGGCCCGAGTGCCCCCCATGGGTACAGACCCCAGGATGAGGTTTGGGTGTTCTCCCAGTGCTGTGTTCAGGTGAGAGCCGGTGATGGCAGAGGAGGAGCCAGCGGTACCCAGCCTCCTGCGGGTGCTGCAGGGTCTCACACTGAAAGGCTTCCAGGAGTTCAAGGCGAAGCTGTCGGAGGTTCACGTGGAAGGAGGATGGAAAATCCCCAAGGATTCGCTGGCAAAAGCCTCCCACCCGTGTGCATTGCTCAACTGCATGGGCGAGAACTACAGCGAGGACACAGCGATGGAGGTGGCGATCGGGCTGCTCAGAGAGATGAACCTGAGAGACCTCGCTGAGGAGCTGCTGGTGGAGGTGGTGAAAGGTAAGAAACCAGCGTTCATCTTTCATCATGGAACCAGGGGATGGGTTTGGGGTGAAGGGACCTGAAAGCTCCTCCAGCTCCAAGCCCAACCCCTTCCACTGGAGCAGCTTGCTCCAAGCCCCTGTGTCCTTGAGCACTGCCAGGGATGGGGCAGCCACAGCTTCTCTGGGCACCCTGTGCCAGCGCCTCAGCACCCTCACAGGAAGAGCTTCTGTCTAAGAGCTCAGCTCAGTCTCCCCTTGGGCAGGTTCAAGCCATTCCCCTTGGCCTGGCCCTACAGGCCCTTGTCCCAAGCCCCTCTCCAGGCTTCCTGCAGCCCCTTTAGGCACTGGGAGCACTGGGTCACTTTTTGCCTTTGGGTGATGCTGGAACGCTTTGGAGCTGGAGGCATCTTTAGGAGCCTTTGTCCCCAGGGGCATGAGCAGAGGAGGACCGAGGCTGCCGGTGGCTCCAGACCATTGCATTTGCTCCCAGGTGAATGAGGATTGCAGGGTGGTTCAAGCAGGGGTTGAAGGATCAGGCAGATGGAAGAAGAACCCCCCCTAAGTGACCAAAGGCCCTAAATTCTGGCAGACAACGTCCTTATTGCCTCTGCCACGCTTAAACCCCTGAGCATTGAAATATCCATCCCATTGGTGTGGGTGGTGAGGAGCTCCTTGGGCATCTGGTTGTGCTTGGGCCTCATTCTGCTCCTCACTGGCACAGAGCACAAGCAGAAGTACAAGGAGCACATTGTCCAGGCGTTCCTCCAGTACAAAGAAGTGAACTCGTGTCCTGGGGAGAGCCGGTCCATCCGGAGCCACTTCACCACCCTGACCATCACCAGGAAGCCTCGGAGCAAGCGTGAAGCTGTGGACACCAGCGATGGATGCGCTGACACCGGTGATGGACCAGCCACCATCTCCACGCTGTTTAACCCCAGTGAAGATGGGCAGACCCCACAGGTCGTAGTGCTGGTGGGAGCCCCAGGGATGGGGAAGACGATGGCAGTGAGGAAGGTGATGGTGGAGTGGGGGGAAGGCACCATGTACACGCAGTTTGACTACGTCTTCTGCATTGACTGCAAAGACACAGCCCTCCCCAAGGAGGCCAGCGTGGCAGACCTGGTGTCCAGGTGCTGCCCTCACCAGAGGGTGCCGCTTGGGAAGATCCTGGAGGAGCAGAAGAGGATCCTGTTCATTCTTGATGGCTTCGAGGCCCTGGGATTTGCCTTGGTCCAGCCTGAATCGGAGCTGAGCTCTGACCCCAGGGCAGTGAAGCCGCTGGAAGCCACCCTGATGGGCTTGCTGAAGAAGACTCTTCTCCCCGAGTCCTCCTTGCTCATCACCACCAGGCCAAGGGCTCTTCAGAGCCTGGGGCAGTGCCTAAAGGGGGAGGATTACATGGAAATAGGGGGATTTTCCAGAGCCATGAGGGAGGAACACTTCCACAGGTACTTTGGGAACGACCACAAAGCAGACCTGGCCTTTGGGTTTGCCAGAGCCAACGAGATCCTTTACAGCTTATGCAGCATCCCCATCATGAGCTGGACCGTCTGCAGCATCCTGAAGCAACAGCTTTGCAAGGAGAAAGACCTCACAGAGTGCTCCAAAGCCGCCACATGGATGAGTGTGCTTTACCTCTCCTGGTTAGTGAAGCACAGGGGCAGGGACAGCCCACAGGACCTCCACCGGTTCCTCCTCAAGCTTTGCTCCTTGGCTGCTGGTGGCATCTGGAAGCACAAAGTCCTCTTTGAGGAGAAGGAAATCAAGGACCATGGCTTGGACCAGCCAGACCTTGTCCCCCTCTTCCTCAATGAGAACATCCCAAGGAAAGGACTGCACCATGGGAACACCTACGGATCTGAAGGTCACAGTGAGGTTCCTGTGTGGTTTGGTGAGCCAAGGATGCAGAGAGTACATGGACAACACCATCGGGTGCAGAACCTCAGCACGAGCCAAGGAGGAGCTGCTGAGGTGGCTGCAGGGGAGGCACGGAGGCACCTCCCAGACTGGCCAAGGGGTGAAGCTGGCCCGGTTGGACACGTTCCACTTCTTGTTTGAGATGAACGAGGAGAGCTTCGCACGAAGGGCGCTGGGGGCTTCACTGATGTGGAGCTGCAGGACACGAAGCTGACCCTGTACGACCAAATGGCTCTTGCCTTCTGCATCAGGCACTGGCCTGGGCTGGGCTCTGTCACCCTCCGGGGATGCTCCTTCCACCAACAGGACCCCAAGTCCAAGGCGGCAGCATCAGTGCCCTGGTAAGTACTGCTCCAGAGACCCAAAATCCCAGAGATTCCTCCTTTCCCACCCCAAAGGATGCTTCTAAAAGCTCTTGAGCTCCTTTCCCTCAAACACCTTGTCCTTTGCTGGGGTTTAGCTCCTCCCACCAAAACTTGTCCTTTCGTGGATTCATAGATGAGTTTGGGTTGGAAGGGACCTTCAAAGCTCATCCAGTCCAACCCCTGCCACGAGCAGGGACATCTTCATCTAGATCAGGTTGTCCAGAACCACATCCAGCCTGGCCTGGAATGCCTCCAGGAATGGAGATGGAGCATCTTAGCCTTAACAAACCCATCTGTGCCCAGGGGCTCATCTGGCTTCACGTCCCCCTGCTTGCATGCAAAGAGCAGAGCCCCGATGAGGAAACTTTAAGCGCACCCCAAGCTCTGCTCGTGCTCCTTTGTGCCTCCAAAGCCACGGGGGTCCCTCCCAAGAGCTGGTGCCAAGCTCTGCTGTGCCGGTGCCAAATCCAGGCGCTCCTGGTGAAAGCCACCCGTGGCTCTGTGCCCTGCAGCTCTGGTCCCTCGGATGCCGGAGCACAGCCCGGTCCCATGGCTCAGCAGCAGCCCCAGGAGCTGCATTCCCCCATGGATGTGCTCTGCCGGGCGCTGCGGCACCCTGGTAGTGACCTGTGGGTGCTCCGGTAAGAGGCTGAGCTGGGGTGGGTGGGTGCTGGAGGGGAGCAGATGGGTGCTGCTCTAGGGTGGATAAGAGGGAGCTATAGGGTGAGGCCAGGCTTTCATTGGCCATGGGAGGGGTGGTCCCTCCATGCTGATTGGCTGTGGGGTGAAAGGGTGGGGTCCCTCCATGGTGATTGGCTGGGGAGTGAGAGGGTGGGATCGCCCCATGGTGATTGGCCCTGCAATGGGTGGGTGAGGTCCCTCATGATGATTGGCTGTGCTAAGGGTGGATGTGTGCTCTCCATGCTGATTGGTCGTGAGGTGCCTTGAGGCTGATTGCCTGGGAAGGGGGGTGTGGGAAGGTGGGGACACTCCATGCTGATTGGCTGTGCTTAGAGTGAGAGTGTTCCCTCCATGCTGATTGGCCAGGTGGTGGGTTGGTGTGTTCCTTTGAGGTTGATTGGCTATCTGGTGGGTGGGCATAGCCCCTCGATGCTGATTGGCGGGTGGGGCGGGTTGGCGTGGTTCCCCCCATGCCCGTTGGCCGGTGGTGGTGGGGGGGTTCTGTCTGGGCTGTCCCGCAGGCTGCAGTGGTGCCAGCTGCCTGAGAGCTGCTGCTGGCCCAGCACCGCAGCCTGGAGCGCCTGGAGCTGGGGGACACCGCGCTGGGGGACCGCGGCGTGCGCCTGCTGTGCCAGGGGCTGCGGCAGCCCGGCTGCTGCCTGCGTGCACTGCGGTGAGAGCCCCGGCACGCGGCGTGTCCCTGAGCATCCCCAGCATCCCTGGGCATCCCCATGGCACCCACAGCATCCCTGAGCATCCCCATGGCAACCCCGGGAGCCACTAAGCATCCCCATGGCACCTCCAGCATGCCTGAGCATCCCCCTCGTATCCCTGGGCACCACTGAGAATCCCCGTAGCAACCCCGGTCATCCCTGAGCATCCCTATAGCACCCATGGGCACCCCAGAGCATCCCCATGGCAACCACGGGGACACCTGAGTATCCCCATGGCACCCAGAGGCATCCCTGAGCATCCCCATGGCAAACCCGGGAGCCACTGAGCATCCCCATGGCACCCACAGGTATCCCTGAGCATCCCCTTCGTACCCCTGGGCACCACTGGGAATCCCCATGTCAACCCCGGTCATACCTGAGCATCCCTACAGCACCCACGGGCACCCCAGAGCATGCCTATGGCACCCACGGGCACCAGTGGGTATCCCCATGGCACCCACAGGCATCCCTGGGCATTGCCATGGCAACTACAGGCATCCCTAAATATCCCCCTGCTACCCACAGGCATCCCATAGTATACCCCCAACACCCCCAATCATCCTTGGGCATTCTGCCGGCATCCCTGTGCATCCCTGAGCATCCCCTTAGGAGCCCCAGCCTCCCTGAGCATCCCTTCCTGTACCCTCTGGCATGCCCGGGCATCCTGAGCATCCCCCTGACATCCCCCCCCTACATCCCCAGCATCCCCCTGGCATCTCTGAGCGTCCCTTTCGCACCCACAGACATCCAATAGCATTCCCCAGTACCCCTGGCCATCCCTGAGCACCCTCCTGGCACCCCACAGCATCCCTGGGCATTTCCCAGGCAGCCAAAGCCCTGGGGCGGATGGGAGCACTGCAGTGGTACCCAAAGGAGTCCCCTGGGCGGGCCTCATCCCTGTGTCCCGCTCTCTCAGGGCACTGGCTCCGGGTTAGGACCACGGTGGGGTGGCACTGAGGCTCTTTCCCTGCAGTCTGCGCTATTCCCGCCTCAGCAGCGCCTGCTGCAAGGACCTGGCCGCTGTGCTGAGCACCGGCCGCTGGATTTGTCCTTCAGCGAGGGGCTGCGGGACGCGGGTGCGGAGCTGCTGTGCGAGGGGCTGCGGCCCCGTTCCTGCCGCCTGCGGACGCTGCGGTAAGGGCGGGACCCGAGTCCCAGGCGCAGCGGCTCCGCAGTCCCGCCGCACATCCCTGTTCCCGCATCCCGCAGGCTGGGGAGCTGCCGCCTGACGGGCGCCTGCTGCCGAGCGCTGCCTGAGGGCCGGTTCCTCCCCTCACCTGCCTGGACCTGAGCGACAACGAGCTGGGAGCAGACGGGGTCCTGCAGCTCTGCCGCCAGCTCCGGAGCCCCTCCTGCCCGCTGCGGGCCCTGGGGTAAGGGGCTGGCTGTGCCTCACCCCTGTGCGAGACCCGAGGGCTCAGGGAGGGACAGGAGGGGCATGGAACCACGCAAGGAAGGAAGGGTTTGGGTTGAAAAGGGTCCTGAAAGCTCCTCCAGCTCCAACCCCAACCCCTTCCACTGGAGCAGCTTGCTCCAAGCCCCTGTGTTCCAACCTGGCCTTGAGCACTGCCAGGGATGGGGCAGCCACAGCTTCTCTGGGCACCCTGTGCCAGCGCCTCAGCACCCTCACAGGGAAGAGCTTCTGCCTAAGAGCTCAGCTCAGTCTCCCCTCGGGCAGGTTCAAGCCATCCCCCTGCCCTGTCCCTCCAGGCCCTTGTCCCAAGCCCCTCTCCCACGTTCCCTGCAGCCTTGGGCACTGGAGCTGCTCTCAGGTCTCCCTGAGCCCCCAGCTCAAGCCGGGGGTGATCCCCACAGCTCTCTCCTCCCTCTGTTCCAGGCTGAGCACAGCCGGGCTGCCCCAGGACGCGCTGCAGGCCCTGGCTGCCCTGCGGGCGCTGAAGCCCGGCCTCAAGGTCGGGGACCTCCTGGAGCAGGAGCGCCGCAGACGGGGGGGATGGCCCGGCTCCGCTTCCAGCGCGGGGCCCTGCCGGGCAGGAGGGGGCCCCCCTCGCTCCGCACAGGAGCGCTCCTCTGGGAGGGCCCCCCTGCAGCAACCGCAGCCGTTCCCAGCGCAGGGCTCGGGGACCTGGGGGGAACCCGCTCTGGCTCTGAGCCTGCCCGAGGCGTGGGGGCGCAGGGGAGGAGCTGCTGCCTGCAGCCTGCATCCTGCATCCGCTGGATGGGGCAGAACCCCTCCACGTCCTTCCCTCTCCCGTTTCCCAGCTGTGGGGAGCAGATCCATAGAGATCTCTATAGACCCCATCTATTGCTGGGAACACGCATCCTGGTGTTGCTGGATGCCAAATAAAGGAGCTGGGGCCCCTATTCCCTTTTTCTTCCTCCGCCCTTCTCCCTGCCCCAGTCACACCCAGGGACCCCTCTGTAGGTCCAGCTCCTGCCGCACGGGATGGTTGATGTCCCCGGGAGCAAGGTGCCAGCCTGGAAGTGAGTCTGCAGCCAGCTTGGGAGTTTTAATAGGGAAAACCATGGGAATTCACGGTGAAACTAAACCCAGATCCCTGCAGCGCTGCTGCAAGAGGGACACCGGAGCTGCTGTGCTGTGGTCCTGGGCACGGAGAGGTGACCTCCATGGCCAGGGCCACCCGTCCTTGGGGACAGAGCCCCCAGCACCCGCACTTGTGTCCCCCGTGGCCTCGTGTGCTGCGGCCGCAGCATCCTCACAGCAATGTCCCCAAGGTGCCAACGTCAGCATCATCGTAGCCTGTGTCCCCCTGGGGGCTGCTCCGGGGGGTCCCCTGTGCTCCCTGGGGGGTGACGGCTCCCGCCTGGGGGCAGCAGAGGCTGGTGCCTTAGTGGGGGCCGCTAAACCCCATCTGGGTCTTGCTGCCGACCCCCATGGATTTGCTGCTGCTCCCCCCCCAGCCACCACAACCAAGCGAGGTGGCTCTGCAGGGCACAGGGACACTCACCTGCATGTGCCACCCCCTCGGGGGTGTCCCCGTGCCAAGGGACTCCTCTGGCACAGCCTCGGCATCATCGTAGCCATCAGGGGGTCCGTCCTCAGGCAGGGCAGGGGGGCCTGGGGGCAGAGGTGGGGGAGGTACAAGGGGTGACCCGGAGGCCGTGGCAGGGCTCTGGCTGTGTCACTCCATCCACAGAAAGCAGGGGTCTGCGGGAGTGCTGGGGCTGCTCATCCAGAGCCACAGCTGAGCTGGGCTCATCCAGGCCAGGGG